CTACTACTACTACTACTACTACTGCTACTACTACTCTTACTACGACGATTGCTACTACTACTACTACTACTACTACTACTACTAGTATAACTACTACTACGACTACTAAGACTACGACTAAAACTACTACTACTACTACTACTACTACTACTACTACTACTACTACTACTACGACGACGACGACGACGACGACGACTACGATCACTACTACTACTACTACTACTACTACTACTACTACTACTACTACTACTACTACTACTACTACTACTACTACTACTACTACTACTACTACTACTACTACACCTACTATTACTACTACTACTACTACTACTACTACTACTACTACTACTACTACTACTACTACTACTACTACTACTACTACTACTACGACTACGACTACGACTACGACTACGACTACGACTACGACTACGACACGACTACGACTACGACTACGACTACGACTACGACTACGACTACGACTACGACTACGACTACGACTACGACTACGACTACGACTACGACTACGACTACGACTACGACTACGACTACGACTACGACTACGACAACGACTACGACTACGACTACGACTACGACTACGACTACGACTACGACTACGACTACGACTACGACTACGACTACGACTACTACTACTACTACTACTACTACTACTACTACTACTACTACTACTACTACTACTACTAGATACGACTAGCTACTACTAGCTACTACTAGCTACTAGCTACTAGCTACTAGCTACTAACTACTACTAACTACTAGCTCCTCCTCCGCCCCCTCCGCCTCCTCCTCCTCCTCCTCGTACTCCTCCTCCTCCTCCTCCTCCTTCTCCCCTCCTCATCCTCTGCTCCTCCTCCTCCTCCTCCTCCGCCTCGTCCTCCTCCTCATCCGTCTCCTTCTCCTCCGCCTCCTCCTCCTCCTTCGCCTCCTCCTCCTCCTCCCCTTCCTCCTCCTCCTCTTCCTCCATCCTCCATCCTCCATGCTCCATGCTCCATGCTCCCTCCTCCCTCCTCCTTTCTCTTCCCTCCTCCCGCCTCACTCCTCCTCCTCCTCCTCCTCCTGCTCCTCCTCCTTCTCTTCCTCCTCCTCCACTTCTTCTCCTCCTCCTCCTCCTCCTCCTCCTCCTCCTCCTCCTCCCCCTCCTCCCTCTTGCTTGACGTTAGACCTACTAGAGGCGGCAACCTGGAGCGTGCATGGTGCAACAAAGACCGACTTACCGCTGCGGTAAAAGCAATGGCCTCGGACGGGTGCAGAAAAGTGAGGCGATGAGGCAAGCGAAGACTACATCCGACTACATCCCCAGGACGAAAAGTTGTCCTCGTGGGCCAGGAACGACGGCTTGAAGTTGTAAGCAGACGCGCATGAGATAACCGCCGTCGGATCCCGTGAAGTTCGCGCGGATCCAATTATGGTTGGGGCGTCTGCTCAGGTGGATCTGAATTCCGTCCGCGCGGATCCGATGTCGGAGTTGCTGGATCCATGTTCGGTATTCTTTCAGATCCAATTCTTACCCCGTTTAAAATCTACAATCTTAAATCACAGCGGGAAGTTGGAAGAAATCGAATCCGCGGACCCCGGATCCCGCCCGTGTTGAGATTCTTCGGGGGAAGGGGGTTCGGTCATTAACTTCCAACTCATCATCGCCAGCTGCACCTCAATAGGAAAATCTTTCGTCCTGCGTACGTAGTAGCCCATGATGGCGAGGGTAACCGAGTCCGCGGCACAAGGAGGTGAGGATACCAGAACAAACTAACGAACCTTGAACCATGATACAAGAAGGGAGGTACGACTGAGAGAGACTAGCAGCAGCTGCAGGTGGTCTGGCAAGGGAGATCCCCGCCACCTCCCGCAAGCTACAGGAATAATGTACCACCCTTATGTAGGGACAAGCACTCAGAGCTAACAGACGACACGAGAGAGATACAAAAGTATGGGAATAAGCGCGTGAGGCTGGCACTTGTTAGGCTGGCCTGAAAATCATAAACACCCACCCCCCCCCAATCCATCCCCATGACAATCCGCCCTTCCCCAGCAATCTAAGGTCATGTAAATGCAAAAGGCATGTCGTGCTGTCTTCTGTAGTGGTGGTTGATGCGTGTGGGCGTGTGTCGGCGTCGGTCTGCTCGTTGAGTGTCGTAGTGGGTGGTGTGGGTTGTTGAGCCTGGGCTAAGTAGTATAGTCCGCCTTGTTGGATCATTGGGTAAGCGTGATGGTCGCTGGTTGGGGATAGTTTGTGGTGTATGGTCCAGTATATGTGCCTGTGGTCGGCTACTCGGTCTTGTAGGAGTGCGTCGGATTGAGGGAGTATTGTGCACGCTGGGCGTATTGTATCCATGTTGGAGTGAACTGCTGAACGTTTGCTTACTAGAGTGTCTGCCAATTCGTTCCAAAGATGGTCCTCATGCCCGTGTTTACAGTGTATTGTGATGGAATGCTGTTTGCGCGCTTGGTGGAAGAGTACTGGTGCCATCCGTGTGATTGGATCGTCGCTGTGGGTAGCCGGTTAAGTATGTGAATGGTGTTGGCTGAGCCTGTGTGTATCTGCTTGTGCAGATGGGGCGGCTGCTGCGTAGCGTATCAGACTGCCCAAGTGATGGCGGCCAGCTCTACTTATGTGCTGTCGAGCTCGTCCGACAAACTTTTTCCCGTCGGCAGCGAGGCGGGACGATCCGCTCCAGCGAGGCAACGATGCAAGGGCACTACACACCGAATTGGCCAGCATCCAGGAGGATGGAAAATGAAAGAAAGGGCGGCCGCGGGGAAGGAGGAAAGGGCGCGCATTTTTTGATATGCAGGGCGAGAACGAGCCTCTTCCGCTAAAAGCTCCGCGGGACGAGCACAGCTTCAAGTGACAGAGGGGGCGAGGGCGGGCGGGGCTTCACGCGGCCGAGAGCGGGCGGAGCCTGGGGATCAGGCGGTGCCGAACGGGACGTGCAGGAAAAGGTACACCTTGGACAGGAGCCCGGTGGTGAAGTCCCGGGAAGAAAAGGGACGGTGGTGTAACGGTCAGCTGCGCTTCGCGAACACCAGCCTCACGTGCTGTGGGAGAGGACGCGCCACTTGACCAGGTCGACGCCCGAGAGGAAGAGGAGCACCACGAAGTAGGAGAGCAAAAAAACACACAACAAAAAAACGAAGAACATGAGGGTACCCTCCACGAACCGACCTCGATCATATACCTCGGTCCGACCGTACCCCTCGTCCACCTCCTCCCCGCGTCGGCTCCGTCGCCGCCGCCGCCGCTCGCCAGAGGGCCTGGATCTCTCCTCCTCCAGCGCCTGCGCGGCGCGGTGCTGCTCCTGCGGGCGATGGGCCGCGAGATAAGAGCGACGACGTCACAGGAAATCGCGACGACGACGCCGACGACGACGACGACGCCGCCGCCGCCGCCGCCGACGACCGCGACCACGACCACGACCACGACCCCGAGGAAGACGACGACGACGACGACGACGACGACGACGACGACGACGACGGCGGCGAGGGGAGCCAGGGGGTGCGCTCCGCTGGGGAGCCCACGGGAGAGGGGGAGTGCAGGAGGCGCAGGGGGGATGAGGAGGGAGAGGGCGGAGGGGCGAGGGAGAAAGGGGAGCCAGGAGGGGGGGAGGGAGGGGGAGGAGGGGAAGGGAGAGGAGGGGGAGGGGGAGGGGGGGAAGGGGAAATGGAAGAGGAGGAGACAGGATGAGGAGGAGAGAGGAGGACGAGGAGGAGGAGGAGGAGGTGGAGGAGGAGGAGGAGGCGGAGGAAGGGGGGGAGGGGGGCGGGCAGATGAGGCGGCCGTGCAGCCCCACAGCAGAGTGCCACGTGCGAGCGCGCGCGGGTCAGTGTCCTCCTGCAGCCGCTGGAGCTTCTGCTGGTGTTCCTTGCTCATGTTCTCCTATCAGGGAGGGCTCAGACTCCACAGGGAGGAGAAGGAGGAGGAGGAGGAGGAGGAGGAGGAAGACGAGCAGAGCAAAGCAGAGCAGCACCAATGATCCGATGAATCAACTCGCTGAAAGCCTACGACACCCTGCAGGCCTTTCAGGGAAGCAAAAAACGGATCAGGCGTTCGAGAACCACTTAAGGGGCCCGAGCATATGTTGGGGCCCTGAAGGGGGATACCACAGGCACTAGCGAGACCCCCATTTGGGGACACCTCGGGGGCACGCCAATGCACTCCTTTGCAGTGCAGGGCTGCAGGGCCGAGGGCAGACGACGCGAGAGCCTACCCCAGCACAACCCCAATCAGGACTCACGGCGCGGCACCGCCCCGACGTCCGAGGGCCTCGAGGACCCGACGACTCGGCCCTCCCCCAGCTGGCTCTCGGTAAGGTGCAGCTGCCCAAGGGCCTCCGAAAAAGCGCCCGAAAGCGCTCGGCACCAAGGAAGGCCTGAATGGGGGAGGCCCTGAAAAAGACACCAACCTCCAGGGCACCATCGTTCGTCGGCTAGGAGGAGGAGGAGGAGGAGGAGGAGGAGGAGGAGCACTACGAGGACGAGGAGGAGGACGAGGACGAGGACGAGGAGGAGGAGGAGGAGGAGAAGGAGGAGGATGGAGGGCATAAGCAGCACCCTCGCAGTAGGCATCCTTGCAGGAGAAGCCCCCTCGACAGGCGCTCCAGAGCGAGGGGATCGAGCAGGGCAGGGCGCTCCGGGCAGGCGCCCAGGGACGGCTTGGCAAGCGCAAGTGCCGGGCCTGGCCCCGCCGCCCTTGGCAGAACTATGTCGGGCGTGTGCCCCTACAGGGGTTTTTCGGCGAAAAATAAAAAATATTATAAAAATGCACCAAAAGGTCAAAACATACTCAAACATAGTCCCCCGACTATTTTTTTAATTATTGTTTAAACCATTTTTGGAATATGTTTTATTTTTCGTCGAAAATCCCCCTGAAGGGGGACAGGCCCGACTTAATGGCAGAAGTCGGCTACTGCACACGCCAGAGGGGCCCCAGGCAAGAGCGATCCTCGCTGAGCGGATCTGGGGGGCCACGGGGGGTGCAGCGGATGTGGGGATGGTGGCTTCAGGAGGCCGACCCCGAACGTCGGACCCCCAAAACCTGACGAACGAACAGCACGGACCCATACCCGCAGGGGGGACGGAGGGGGGGGGCTGTGTGGGTGCGTCTTGCCGATGGGGGCCGTCGAGGACGCGCTGTGGAAACACGAAAGTCGTGCACGCTGAAAACGCACGTGTCCCTTAAGGCATGAAGCGATTTTGGCTTCTGTGGGGCCTCTGGGGGTGGCTTCACGGAGCCCTCCTTGGACGTTTTAGAGGGTCTTGGCTCTTCTTGAGGCCATCTTGGCGCATCTTGGAGCGCTCACGGGGCGTCTGGGGCGGTCTCGAGCTGGTCCTGGCGGCCTCTGGAGCCGTCCGAGAATCCTGAGGGCCCCGCCTGGGAGCCCCTGGGCAGCCCGGGGCACCCATGCCACGCCGTGGCCGTGGCCGTGGTTCGGGGCCCGCCCCTGGACGACGACGACGACGACGACGACGACGACGACGACGACGACGACGACGACGACGACGACGAGGGTGGCGACGACTGCGACGCCGACGACCCCAGACATCGAAATCTGCTCGGCATGGGTCACTGGACCTCTTCTGGGTTCTGGCCGGCGGCATTTTTCGCCCAGTGGATGCAGTTTTGAAGCCGTTTGGGGGCCTCTTGGCGCCAGTTTTTGGTCCTCTTGGGGGCGTCTTGGGGGCCACTTGGGCTCTCTTGGGGACCTGTTGGAGCCCTCTGGAGGCCTCTCGGAGTGGAAAGCTCGAATTGTCGGTCAATCTGCTTCTCTGGGCGCCCGCTCTGGGCCGTCTTGGAGACCTTTTGGGCGCCTCTTGAGCTGTGTTGGGGCCGCCTTGGGCTGACTTGGGGCCCTCTGGGGGGCGTCTTGGGCGCCTCTCGAGTCCTTTCGGGTCGTTCGTGGGGCTTCCTTGAGCCGTCTGAGACATTCGGTGTCCGACAAGGCGTGAATTGCAAACATGATCGACCAACACGAACCCAGAAAAGGATTTAGAACTGCGAGACATGGGAAGTATGCCAAGGGCTGCGTTGTGCTGCTCTTCGCTGTGCCGCGCCGAATAATGACTGACGTGCCAGGGACGCGCCACGGAACGTGCCAGTGGAAGCGCCAGGGGACGCGCCAGGGGACATGCCGCGTTAAACTGTGCCGTGCGCTACTATTGTGGGTCAAGCCGTCCTTGGCGTCAGAATCCTGACCGAACGGATTTTGACCTTAGGCTCGAGCTGTCTGAACGCATAGCTCGGGCTAGTTGCAAGCGAAACACGCGAGGCGCTCGACCAGCTCGAGCTCAAGATCCGATTCAGTTCCGCAGCCCTCGCTGGAGACACCCTCACAATTTGCTCAGGCATAGAGCCAGACGACCACATGTTGGATCTCTCCCTGTGCAGCCTGGACGCGTGAAGACGTGGTTCCAGCTCGGGACAACCATGTTAGATACCCCTCTGGTTGGCCTGGACACGTGAAAACACATGGTTCCAGCTCGGGGCAACCATGTAAGATACCGCCCCTGAGAGGCCTAGATACATTCAAAAACATGTGGCTCTAGCTCGGGACCACCACGTGAGATACCCCAGCGGGAAATCTGGAAAATCACCAACCGAAAAAATACCCCAGCGGGAGACCTGGAAAACTACCAGCCGAAGAAGCTGTGTCAGGAGATTACACAGCTGGTGCCGATGCATTGGCTACGTCTGGCGCCCCCACGACGGGGGCGCCCAGGCGACCCCCTTGGGTGGCCCGCGCAAGGAAAAAACACACGGTTTCAGCTCGGAGCAACCATGTTAGATATCCCCCCCCTGGGTGGCCTGGACACATGAACCCACGAGGTTCCAGCTCGAGGCCGCCATCTCTGATATCCCCCTGGGTGGCCTGGGCACATGAAACCACGTGGTTCCAGCGAGGGGCAAGATGAAACCATCTTAGATACCCCCCCCCCCTGGGCGGCCTGGACACGTGAAAACACATGGCTCCAGCTTGGGACCACAATTTTAGACACCCCCCCTGCGTGGCCTGGACACGTAATTACTCCGACGGAAAGATCCTGCATGATAATCTCCTTGGTGTGCATGAGAATCCTTATCATCGACGAATAACGATGGTGATAATGGCAGGATGCCAGGATACCATAATACGACCTCGAGGACCTGTGGGACTCGCGGGAGCTGTGCGACCTGTGGTGCTTGTTGGACCAGTGAGGCCTGTGGGGCCCATGGGACTTGTAGGAGTTGGACCTGTGAGACCCATGGAGCCCGTGGGTCCTGCAACCTGCGGGGCCCGTGGGACCTACGGGGCCCGTGAGACCCGTGGGACCTCCGGGCCGAGGGGGACCTGTGGGAACCCGCAGGAGGGGCCTGCGCGGCCTGTAGGACTTGTGCGCGAGGCGCAGACACCATAAGACCTGTGCGAGCTGCGGGGCCTGCGGTGGGCCTGCGGTGGGCCTGTGGGATCGGTGCGACATGTGCGACCTGTGGAACGTGTTAGACCGGTGGTACCCGTGAAACAGTTGGGACCTGTGCGACCCGAGGGAGGGAGCTTCCGCCTGAGACTTCCTCGCAATGCACACCCAGACGAGGCTCCCGCCTGCGACTTCTGTAATTCACTCACAGACGAGGCTCCCACCTGATACTCCTTCCATATTCAAGCATGTGGAGCCCAAAAGTGACGACAGTCACAGGTTTGAGGATGACCCACTCGGATAAACAAGTATGTATGTATGTGTGCATGCATGCATGCATGCATGCATGCATGTCTGCATGTCTGTCTGTCTGTCTGTCTGTCTGTCTGTCTGTCTGTCTGTATGTATGTATGTATGTATGTATGTATGTATGTATGTAAATAGGTATGTATGTATGTAAGTATGTATGTATGTATGTGTGTGTATGTATGTATGTATGTAAATAGGTATGTATGTATGTGTGTATGTATGTATGAATGTGTGTATGCATGTGTGTATGTGTGTATGTGTGTATGTGTGTATGTGTGTATGTATGTATGGATGTATGTATGTATGTATGTATGTATGTGTATGTATATGTATGTATGGATGTGTATAAGAATGTATGTGTGTATGTGTGTATGTATGTATGTATGTATGTATGTATGTGTGTATGTATGTATGCATGTATGTATGGTTGTATGTATGTATGTATGTATGTATGTATGTATGCATGTACGTATGTGTGTGTATGTTTGTATGTATGCATGCATGCATGTATGTATGTATGTATGTATGTATGTATGGATGTGTGTATGTGTGTATGTATGTATGTATGTATGTATGTATGTATGTATGTATGTATGTATGTATGTATGTATGTATGTATGTATATATGCGTGTATGTATGTATGTATGCATGTATGTATGTAGGTAGGTAGGTGTGCATGTCTGTATGCATGTACATAGGTATGGATGTATGTGTGGATGTGTGTATGTATGTATGTATGTATGTATGTATGTATGTATGTATGTATGTATACATGTATGTATGTATGTATGTATGGATGTGTGTGTGTATGTATGTATGTATGTATGTATGTATGTATGTATGTATGTGTGTGTATGTATGTATGTATGTATGTGTATGTATGTATGTATGTGTATACACACATAGATGTGTATACGTATGTGTGTATGCTTATGGGGCCTGCGGGCGTCGAGATATTGACAGATCAAGAAATATGTGCGTGGATGTAAAAATGGGTGGATGCATGGATGTGTATACATACACACACACACACCAGAACCACACACGCGCGCTCCGCGCACGTGCGCTTCGCGCACGCTTAAGCACTACTGTGGCACTACTCTGGCACATTTGCAGCGGACGTTTCATCATAAACACATATGGAAGCCCACACAATAATACCTCAGGAGTCTTGAAGATCTCGAGATGTGTTCAAAAGGCTGTCCCCAGAGAGCTGAAGAGACCTTTGAAGAAACTACACCCGTAGTTAAACCTTTGGGAGAGTATTGAGCCCTCTGGGACTGCCTTGGGCTCTTGGGGCCGTTGTGAATGCATCCTGGGGCGTCGTCAGGCCCTTCTGGGAGACTTTTGGAGCCCCTTGGGGCTCTCATAGGGGTCTTCTCTGCGATTTTGGGGCATCTTTAGGTTGTCTGGAGCCCCGACTCTTCCCATACAACATAGTCAGCTGGAACGGTGGTTGGCGCTTCCAGTAGAGCACAGTCCTTGTCAGTGGTGTGCCGAGTCGGGCCAGCCAGCGCTTTGGCACTTCTCACCTGGGGCTGTTGTTAGAACTTCTGGAGAGGAGCGATCCTCGCGAGGGGTATGAAGTGTTAGGCGAGGTGACGCTATGCGGACGTCCCCGGTGGGGCTATAGCTGGAGCTCCCAGTGGATCGCGCTCCTCACGAAGAGTGCGCCGAATCAGGCCACGAGATGCTATGAGAGTTCCCCCAGTGGGACCAGCATTGGGGCTCCCTGTGAAGCACGATCCTCGTGAGGGGTGCGCCGAAGTAGGCCACGTGGTGCTACGCGAGTTCCCCAATTGGGACCGTAGTTGGAGCTCCCTGTGGAGCACGATCCTTGTGAGGGGTGTGCCGAGTTTGGAGATGTGATGATGTGCAAGTTCCTCCACCAGGGCCGTGCTTGGAGCTTCACCAAGTGTCAATCCTCGCGAGTGGTGCGCCGAATTGGCGGACGCGATCCTCCAGGGGTGGGCGCTGCCTCTGGCGAGGTAGCACAATGCCATTCCCCTACTGGGGCCACGGTTGGCCCAGCGTAACAGTACAACAAATCGCAAACAGCCCGACCTGGGCACGCGCTTACATGAATCAGGGATCCGTGGAGCTGGCGCGTGAGCGCCCGATCCACGGAACCGGGGAAGAGCACCGCCCCGAAACATGCGGCCAATGCCCCTGCGTTGGCGGCAGAGCGTCCCGCTTTCGCAGGGAGGCGAGACCCGTCGCAGACGCACGCACCTCGAGATCCACGTCCGCGCTCCCTCGGCTGACTGCGCCCGCGCCGCCTCC